ATAGAGATCTGTAGCTACAGCGAGCTCCACTCACTCTCATAGAGATCTGTAGCTACAGCGAGCTCCACTCATAGAGATCTGCAGCTACAGCGAGCTCCACTCATAGAGATCTGTAGCTACAGCGAGCTCCACTCATAAAGATCTGTAGCTACAGCGAGCTCCACTCATAGAGATCTGCAGCTACAGCGAGCTCCACTCATAGAGATCTGTAGCTACAGCGAGCTCCACTCATAGAGATCTGTAGCTACAGCGAGCTCCACTCATAGAGATCTGTAGCTACAGCGAGCTCCACTCATAGAGATCTGTAGCTACAGCGAGCTCCACTCATAGAGATCTGTAGCTACAGCGAGCTCCACTCATAGAGATCTGCAGCTACAGCGAGCTCCATTCATAGAGATCTGTAGCTACAGCGAGCTCCACTCATAGAGATATGTAGCTACAGCGAGCTCCACTCATAGAGATCTGTAGCTACAGCGAGCCCCACTCACTCTCATAGAGATCTGTAGCTACAGCGAGCCCCACTCATAGAGATCTGTAGCTACAGCGAGCCCCACTCATAGAGATCTGTAGCTACAGCGAGCTCCACTCATAGAGATCTGCAGCTACAGCGAGCTCCATTCATAGAGATCTGTAGCTACAGCGAGCCCCACTCACTCTATGTCATAGAGATCTGTAGCTACAGCGAGCCCCACTCACTCTCATAGAGATCTGTGTCCCTGGTGGTTCTGGGCCGATGGATCTCAACATTAATTCCGTGCCGCCCGCTTCGCGACATGCAAATACCCAACTCCGCGGCGATCCCAACAAAATTGTCGCCGCGAAAACACGGCGTCATTTAATGTTTTAACGTCAGATTGGGGTTTTTCTCTCTCTAGTGGCAACGCTTACATCGCATTCAATCAACAGACATTAATTGACGTAATCAATCGACTTCTCCTCCCTCCCCCAGTTCTCTAACCCAGCGGCTACAGGATTCCCACGTGTCCCTGTTCTGTTTTCGTATCAACAAACGGGGGGACCACAGGGGGAGGGGGAGAGGGGGAGGAAGGGGGTGGGAGTCTCATCGTGTCGGTAGTCCGAGCTGTCGCAACCGAGCGGCAGCGTTCAGCGGCTTCAGTGAAAACCTCCCTCGATCGCCCTCCTCCGTCCATTCTTTCATCCATCTGTCCATCCATCCGTCCGTCAGGGGACAACTTCACAACCCCTGGGATGAGTTCCCCCCCACCCACGTGTCCTTTGCGTGTCACACTGCACGCCACCACGCCACCACGCCATCACACCACCACGCCACAACACCACCACGCCACAACACCACCACGCTACCACGCCACAACACCACCACGCCGCAACACCACCACGCCACTTCGCTACCAAACCACCACACCACCACACCACAACACCACCACGCCACCACGCGACCACGCTACCACCCAACCACACCACCTCGCACGCCCGACACTCCACCACCCTCGCTGGGAGCGCGCGGCGCCCACTCGGGGGCTTCTCGTCAACCCGCGGGTCCCATCACCCGGGAGAATGACAGCCTCTGTGGCACCCACACAGTCACCCCGCCCCACTCCACCCACCAACTCCATCCAACCCCAACCCACCCAAAACCCACCCACTCCACCCACCCACTCCACCCCACCCACTCCACCTCACCCCAACCCACCCAAAACCCACCCACTCCAACCCACCCACTCCACCCACCCCACCCACTCCAACCCACCCCAACCCACCAACTCCACCCAACCCCAACCCACCCACTCCACCCACCTACGCCACCCACCCACGCCACCCACCCACTCCACCCCACCCCAACCCACCCACTCCAACCCACCCACTCCACCCACCCACCCCACCCACCCACCCACCCCACCCACGCCACCCACCCACTCCACCCCACCCCAACCCACCCACTCCAACCCACCCACTCCACCCCACCCACCCGCGGCAGCCCGAATGACAGAGGAAACGCGATACATCTCTGAGAGAGAGAGGGGGGGGGGGGGGGGAGGAGCATTTAAAAAAATGGAAATTGCCCTCGATGGTCTCACGATATCTTTCTGCCTTTGACGCCAATAATGCCTGCGTTGGTTAACGTTGGGTGCATCTCCTGCTGCTGCTGCTGTTGTTGCGATGGAGAAGATTGATGACGACGACGACGATGATGATGATTATGAGTGGGAAAAGCTAAAAACTTGTAAAACCTCAGGTGCTTTTAACGTTCATCGTACTTTGTATTTATTTCCCTCCGTCCGTCTTTGCATGTTGTGGCGTCCACATCGTTTTCAAATGTTGAGTTCAAAGCACAAATGTTGATTTCATCTCACGAACAGCCCAAAGTCCCGAAAAAAATTGTCACTAAACATTACGTGTACATATTCATGACGATTATAATAATTGCTGATCATACTACTGTAGCAATGAATACTAATGAATAATATATATAAAGAAGTATATAAATATATACATATCCTACACTTGCATTTATATATCTAAAAAAATTGCATATTTTTTGCTATGAAATCACATGCATTGTATCCTTGCATGACATTTAGTAACCAAAATATTTCTATGATTGAAAAATTAAATTCTGGTTTTTCTTTTCTTTCTCTTCGCGTTTGTCATGGGTCGACGTGGGGGGGGGGGGGGGGTGGTGGGCGACGCGCCGGGGGCATTGCCTGGGGACCATCGTCTTGGGGGGCTTTGCCCTGGGGGGCATTGCCCCGTGGGGCATTGCCCTGGGGGACATTGCCCTAAGGGGCATTGCCCCGAAGTGGCGGCTTCTCATCATGTGGACATTCATAGCAGTAGACAAATAACTCTGCTAAACGCGTGATGTTGATTTTAAATGTGTGAGGGAAAAAGCGGAGGACCCGGAGAAAAATCCACGAGACCACGGGGAGAGACTGAGACGCAAACTCCAAAATATACAGCAGCAGCAAGCGTCAGGGTCGGGATCGAACCCACGACCTCCTGTATTCCAGGCGAGGTAGTTAACATCTCCTAGCTACCGTGATGATGATGATGACAGAGGGAGTCGCCAATTCCAAATATACAGCAGCAGGCGTCAGGATCGGAATGGAACCTCACGACCTCCTGCATACCAGTCGAGGTAGTATAAGGCAGAGTTGTCGGCCAATTGATGAGCGTGTTTACACGTGGGAACGAAACACTGGAGACACCCGGATAAAGACGGCGCGTGCGAGGGGGAAACACACTATCCCGTTCGGATGTAAGAGAGATGGAGTCCGCATTTGCTTTGCTGCCTTCTTCTGGCAAGGCCACGTCGTGACAACCTCGACGACCACTCAAACGAGATGGAACAATTGGAGATTAGTCCGCACTCCGCAGGACCGCAATCTCATGGCAAGGGAGGGCTCGGCCCCTCATCGACGCCCACGGGAGAAGGGAGTTTGGCAACGTTTCGTGCGTGATCCACAGGCAGCCACGTGCAGCAGCGTAGCCACCACCAAAGACAAAGATCCCCGGTACAGCCTGGACAGACTGCTGGGGCAAGTGCTGTTAGCTATCAACCCTTGAACGCTGAAACGGCACACAAGGGTGGTGGGGTGGCCGGAACCACGCCCGGCCGCATTTGTCTCCCCAGTGGCGATGTTTACACAACCGCACCAGGTACTCATTTGAGGCTGAGTCGACCTAGGGGAGGCCCAAGACCGGTTTAGATAATCGTCACCGGTGTTGGTGGCCGTCAGCGGGAAATCGAATTCTGGTCGCCCGGTTCTGAAGCGCAGCGCGTTAACCGCTACACCACCGCTCCCCATAGCCACCACCACCACAACCACCACCACCACTACCACAACCACCACAACCATCACTACAGCCACCACCACCATAACCACCACAACCACTACCACCACAACCACAACCACCACTACAATCACCACTACTACAACCACTACCACCACAACCACCAGCACTACCACCACAACCACTACCACCACAACCACAACCACCACTACAGCCACCACCACAACCACCACAACCACTACCACCACAACCACTACTACAATCACCACCACCACTACCACCACAACCACCAGCACTGCCACCGAACGGGGGGTGGAGGGGGCTCTGGGCCCACGGCCACGCGCCGCTGCGCAGATGGCGAGCGGCGCAATCCGTGGACTCGCACCCTCCCCTCTCTCTCTCTCTTTCTCTCTCTCCCTCCCTCTCTTTGTCTCTCTCTTTCTCTCTCCCGCACTCTCCCCTCTCTCTCTCTCTCGCAGTCTTCCCTCTCTCTCCCTCCCTCTATTTCTCTCTCCCGCACTCTCCCCTCTCTCTCTCCCTCGCTTTCTCTCTCTCCTTCTCTTTCTCCCTCTCTTTCCTCTCTTTCTCCCGCACTCTCCCCTCTCTCTCTCTTTCTCTCGCACTCTCTCTTTCTCTCTCTCCTTCTCTTTCTCTCTCTTTCTCTCTCCCGCACTCTCTCTCTCTCCCTCCCTCTATATCTCACTCCCACACTCTCTCTTTCTCTCTCTCCCTCTATTTCTCTCTCCCGCACTCTCCCCTCTCTTTTTTTTTAATATGAAAGACATTTATTCACACGCACTGCCAAAATGTATGAAGTTGTTCAAGGAAAATTAATACAATAAACAAAAAAATAACAGTATATATACGTCGCTGCCATACATACTGTCAACACAGGGTGTTATAAGCATAAAAGGTTGTAATTACCGCAACCAGAGGCGCTTCCACCTATCACAACAGGATTCAGACAACGGGCGTCTCAGAAAGAGCTCAAACTGGCTGGCTATCCACAAAGACCTGTCTACAAACGAGAAAGAGACCAAGCTTTTCACTATGCCTCGGTTTGGAATTCACATGTTCCACTTCCCCCTGCCCATTTTTCCCATGGCCGAACCACCCATTCCCATCCCGCTGCTCTGCGTACTGCCGCTGTAGAAGCCACCTCGTGCCCCCATGCCGCCTCTGCCTCCATAGCCTCCTCCCATGTTACCGCCATAGCCATCGGCGCTAAAGTTGCTGTTGCCACATCCGCCAGACATGCCAGCGGCAGTTGTGTTGTAGCCGCCCTGGTTACCGGTGCTGAAGGTTGACTGAGAGCCCATGCCATTGCCACCACCGTAGTTACCCCCCACCCATGCTGGCTGAAGCAGAGGAGTTGAGGAAGAGCTCGACGTAGCGATGTTGCATGTGAGCCTCGTCCTTGGCCATGGCGGTCACGGCATCCTCGTGAGGGGGCAAACTCGACGTCACGCTCTCCCGTGGGCCTCCCGCTCCCGTCGTACTCGATGTTCACGCGAACAGGGTTTAGCGGCGTGAAGAAGTTGTTAATGTCCAATTCTGTGGCTCTGAAGGACAGGCCCCGCATGTGCACAAAGTCTGCGGAGGAGCGCTGGTAGCTGGATCCTCCTCCTCCTCCTCCTCCACCTCCACAGCCACGGCCAGACATGCCTCGGGACATGCCGCCACCTCCCATGCCAGCCCCCATGCCCGTACCCATCATGCCCTTCCCACCCCGGTCAAAACCACGGTCATAGCCATAGTTGTCATTGTAGCCATTTGAAGCCATCGTCATATCCACCGCCATAACCTCCATAGCCACCGCCTCGGCGCATGCGGTCAAAGCCTCCACGCATGGGAGGGCCCCCACGGCCACTTCCCATAGGCCGATCGTAGGGCCCGGGCCTCTGCATTCCCATCACTAGCCGCTTTGGTGGGTCTTAGTAGGCGCGTACCTCACCCCTGTTACTCTTGAAAACCTCGATGTACCTGTGCCCTATCCTTTCCTGGTGCTTGCCCAGAGCCTTCTCGGCTGCCTCTTGCGAGGCAAACTGAACGCAAGCCTCCCCAGTGCTCTGCCCCTGGTAGTCCACCGGCAGCGTAATCCCGTTCGGCACGATTTCCAGCCCAGTAAAGAACTGCGCAATCTCCTCCTTGCTGCGGGAGAAGGGCAGGCCGCGCAAACGCACGCAGCCCTCAGCCTCCCCACTCTCGGGCAGCGCCACCGGGTTCTGCTGGTTGAGCACCCAGTTGAGCTCGCTCAACTTCGATCGGAACACTTCAGTGTAGCGGTGCCCCATGTTCTTGTGGTCACGTTCCAAAGCCCTATCCAGGTCATCTTCAGACTCCAGCTCCACAAAAGCCTCCCCGCTGGGCCGGCCTTCACGCGAGTTGGTGAAGTGTACGCCGTCGGCACTATTCCTGAGAGGAACTTGATGACCTCCTCGGATGAGCAAGACCAGGGAAGGCCCCGCAGCCACACCACGAACCCTTCCACCACTTCATCAGCCATGACGTTAAGTGTTGTGCTAATTCCATACAACACCCTGACGTTCGCTCGCTCTCTCTCCCCTCTCTCTCTCTCGCACTCTCTCTCTCTTTTTTTACGATCAGAGGAAACAAGAAGATGCTCGGTGTAGTCGGCACTTTGCTCCGTTCATCATTTCGTTTTTTTTGTTTTTTATGCTTTGTTTTATGTAAATCCCCCCCCCCCCCCCACCCTTTTAAATGAAAGACCCAACAAAATATTTTTTTCTGCTCTCCTTACCCCTTCCCTCTCTCTCTACCCCCCTCTCTACCCCCCTCTCTGCCCCCCTCTCTCTGTGCCCCCTCTCTTCTTACTCCATTTCGCTCTCTCTTGCTCACTCTCTCGCTCTCTCTCTTTCTTTATAACTACGACAAGTGCTGCATCTGCACGCAGCCCTTCCCACAGTCAAACGGCCTCCGATGGGTAGCTTAGATCTGCATTCAGAGCTTTCCGTCATCTGCCACCGAGCACGCGGCCTCCTCCAGCGCCCACTGCTCCTTGAAGGCCGGCACGGCGTGGGTCAGCCACGCGTGGCGGAACTCCAGCCACACCCTGGCTCCGACCAGAGCGCGGAAGATGCCCAGGCTGCTGGCCGGACGTTGCCCCTCCAGGGCCACCTTCCTCGCCCTGTATACGGCGAGCTTGGCGTAGCCGACGAGCACGTTGACCAGCCCCTGAAGATGTTGGGGTCCTTCGCCCTACGGGTATCCAAAGATGAGGACCGTCGCGGAGAAGTGGAGGCTGAACCTTAGGAGGATGTTTCTCAGGACCTTGAACAGCGAGTCCAGGCTCTTGCACTCCACGTATTGGTGCGCCACCGTCTCCACTTTACCGCAGAACCGGCACTCCGGGGACGTGTCGGTGAAGCGCGCCAGGGAGACGTCGGTTGTGATGGTGCCGTGGGCGATGCTCCAGCTGAGGTCGCCGATGCGGTTGTACCTCGGTCTGTAGTAGAGTTGACTCCAGCGAGGCCTCTCCGGAGAGACGCAGGGCAGGGCTCTCCTCCAGGCATGGTCCTTGTGGCTCCTCAGGGTGTCCTGTTGGTGGAACGGACGCACTCTCTCTCTCGCACTCTCTTTCTCTCTCCCGCACACTCTCTCCCGCACTCTCCCTCTCTCTCCCTCTCTCCCCTCTATCTCTCCCTCTCTTTCTCTCTCCCGTACTCTCTCCCGCGCTCTCCATCTCTCTCTCGCACTCTCTATTTCTCTCTCTCGCACTCTCTCTCTCTTTTTTTACGATCAGAGGAAACAAGAAGGTGCTCGGTCTAGTCGGCACTTTGCTTCGTTCATCATTTCGTTTTTTTTTGTTTTTTTCAATGCTTTGCTTTTATGTGCCCCCCCCCCCTTTTTAAATGAAAGGTTTCACGAAATATTATCTCTCTTCTCTCTCCCCTCCCTCTCCTCCCTCCCTCTCCTCCCTCTCTCTTCCCCTCCCTCTCCTCCCTCTCCTCCCTCTCTCTTCCCCTCCCTCTCCTCCCGCGCACTCTCTCTCTCTCTGAAGGGGGCATTATGATTACTCGCGAGCCGGCCACTCCAGATCGAGCGAAAGTTTAACGCTCGGATAAAAATGATTATGTTTAATGTATTATTGTTGTTGTTGTTGTTTTAGCTTTTAGGAAGGATTACCGCATTCATATCGCTTGGATGAACACCGAAAGGATAATTATATTACATTATACGTGTGGAATATATTCATCATACATAGACGCACACACACACACAGAGGCGTTTGGGACAATCGCGGTTTGCTTTGTAAATGACACTGGAAGGAATTTACAAAATAATTCAGGAGCATTCTGGAATGATAATAATTAATAATACTAATAAAAAGAACACGACGAAAATGTAGAGACATCTGGAATCAAAGCCGATACCAATCACAGGAAATGTTCAGCTCGGCGTAGAATTGCGATTATTTGTATTTATTTTGGAAATATAAGAGACCACATTGTACAGCGTGACGCTTGAAACAAACATCTTAACAAAGGTTTTAATGAAGGGTTTTTGGGTTAGAATCGCGTAAGTATCAATGTGTCTAAACCCTCCACCACCCGACACAGCCAATTAGTATGGGATCTGTCACGTAAACAAAACGCCAATTAGTTACTACTACAGCCCACCGGTGTGTTGTGAAGCCATCCACCTGCTTCAGGTCTCAAATGGAGCAGCAGGACGACGTCATCACTGAACCCATCAGGCGCAGAGGTCAGAGGCGGAGCAGGTGGCGACTATTGTCATTATATCATAGATTAGTAATCAGTTAATTAGCACGTGTTTCCTCTATGAAGAGTGTACAATGTCTTCATCTTCTTCCACGCGTCTGTCCCACTCATGTGGGGGTCTCCTGCTGTCCTTGCCACCATTCTCCATGCTGCCACCACGATCCGATCGCACTACATCGCCCCCCCCCCCACGTCTTATTCTGCCTTCCTCTTCATCTCCTCATCTTACAATTACTTAATAATACGCTTCCAAGGACGCACTAAGCCTGCAGCTGTCGGAGCGGTTACAATTATTTGCATTTCTCTCAATTTCAATGGATTCTCGAATTAGTCTTGGCCAGTAATAACATTGTGTAACACATTTTTTTGTTCCTGGGTAGTAAGTTTATTTCCTAATTGCCTTTACCTCGAAAGTACAGAAAATGGTTATTATTCCCCACACACTTTGCTTTTGTGACCAGGACATTGATAATTTGAAATTTACCTACTTTCAATGAGAAAACGGGCGAATTTGTGTCTTTTCGTTCACATAAAGTCAGAAAAAAACAACGTATGAATACTTGAACCGGTCCTGGGCTTCCCATGGGTCGACCCAGTCTCAAATGAGTACCTGGTGCGGTGTGTAAACATCGCCACTGGGGAGACAAAGGCGGTCAGGTGCGGTGCTGACCACCCACCCCCTCGTGTACCGTGCCGGCCTTCGTAGGTGCTCGCTAACAGCACTTGCCCCAACAGTCTGTTAAGGCTACACGGGGGATCTTTGTCTTTGCCGTCTTGTTTGTTTAGCTGTGGGAGGAATCTGGAGAACCCGCAGTAAACCCGTGCAGAACAGGGCGGGGGGGGGGGGGGAGAGAACGGAACAAACTCCACGCAAACAGGACACCCGAGTCGTGGATCGAACCCAGGCGCTTTTTGCCTTGAGGCGTGAGTGCCACCACTGTGCCGCTTTCTTTCTTTATTCTTGAAGATGCACGCGGGAGCGAAACGTCGGACATGGTCGCGCCCGAAACAACGGGCGCGGTACAACCCCGGAGAGCTATCGTTTGGGAGTCGTGCAGCAGCAGTGGCGCGATCCACTTCACTCATTTACCAGCTTCACGTTGCCTATTGCCGTACAAAACCGGAGGAAGGGCCTTTGCTATTGATGCCCCCAGGGTCTGGAATGCTATTGCCAATAAACTGAAACTTGAATCGCTACCTATGAGATCTTCACTCAAAACTGCTCTAGAGGAGTTGTACACCGCTAGTTGCCACTGCTATTCAGTGGCCTAAAATGAAATAAAATGTTTCGCTCCGGATGACCGCTGCAAAGTATTGTCTGTATTTTGATTTAGTGTGCTGATCTTAAAGGTGCATTGAAAAATGTGTTACTCCGACTGATGCTTCTGTTGTTGTGGAGTAACTCATGCAGCCAGCTATGGCTCGAGGATTTGGTGTTACATGTTATTTATGTAGATTATTGTTAAAAAAATTCGGTCACAGTTCCTATGATCACTGTTACATTGCATTTATGGATTTATTTTGGTGAGTTAGACGGAGTTAGACTGATGGCCTTAATCTAAGTTTTCTTGTTGTTGTTGTTGTTGTTTGACTTGCATCCCACTGGGATTTTTGCACACAGCGTTGGTGTACGGTGCTATTTCAGGAATATTTTGATGTTGTTTCCTGGATTTTCTGTTTGCACAGTCACACAAAGTCACTTTAAGATGTTTTCTTGTTCATGTTTTTGTTTTTTTGTTTGTTGCGGTTGCACCCGATTCAAGAGCCGAATGGCTCACAGGGCTATACCAAATAAATGAAACTATGAAACTAAACTATGAAACGTGGCACCCTTCCATTGACGGGTGCCCAGAGAAACTGAATCAGTTTAATAGTTCACCAGGTCAAGCCTCGTGTGCAGAGCTGACCTGGCCACACGTGGTGGTGATGATGATGATGATAGCTCACCATCGAAGCGGCTCATCGCCATCATCACACGCCGGGGAAGTTGTAGGTAGCAGCCAAATTAACTTAACGCGTGTTAACACGCGTGCCCCGAACGGAGGCAGAGTCGGAGATACCCAGAGAATAATCCGCGCGACTACCAAGGGGAGAGGAGAGAACATTCGGACTCCGAATATACAACGGGCATCGCCAGGGTCCGGAATCGAACCCATGGAAGGCGAGGGAGATAACAACTCCAGGTCACCGTGGGCGAGAGAGAGAGCGAGAGAGAGAGAGAGCGACATGGAGTAGGAAGAGAGGGGGTAGAGAGAGGGAATGGGTAAGGAGAGCAGAGCGAGAAATCTTTTGTTAAATCTTTCATTTAAAAATGGGGGGGGGGGGTTACATAAAGCAAAGCAATAAAAAAAGACGAAATGATGAACGAAGCAAAGTGCCGACTACACCGAGCATCTTCTTGTTTCCTCTCTGATCGTAACAAAACAAAGAGAGAGAGAGAGGGAGGGATCTGTCTCTTTTGGGGGGTCTCACCGTCTGCAGATCTCGGCTCTCTGCTTCCAAGTAGGCCGAGAGCACAATCGGGCAAATGAATCGTTGCGTCGTTGTTGTTTGTGTGATTAATTGATGCACAAATATTAAGGAAAACGCGGAGACATTCGCGAATTTCTTGTTGAGCGAGCTATGGATAGGGAGATGGAGTGAGACGAGAGAGATATCGGCTAGACACAGAGATGTAGTAGGATTCTAGAGATGTACACCGCAGACAGAAATGGAGTGAGATGAGAGATGTAGTCTCGACACAGAGATGTAGTAGGATTATAGAGATGTACACGCGAGA